ATAAACTTGCAGTCAGTCAAGAGTTGGGCTGAGTTAACACCACAATCACTGTATTGCAGCGCTGCACCAGATGTTAGATGTCTTTCTGTTGTGATTGGTGCCAAACGTGCTTTGACCATTTGTGTGTGCAGATAGAAAAGCAGCACACAGTTTGCAGTGAAAAATAAAATCAGGGAGGCATTGCTTTGTGCAGTAAGAATACATATCTCCAGTATGAATACACATTGAAGTATTGAGTGTCCAGTGAAGTATGTGACATACTGGTGGCATCAAAAAGTATGTTTTTGCATTGCTGGTTTGTGTTTTCTATCAGTGCACTTTCTAGAGGGTACAGATCTCTGTCATGCTTAAAACTCCTATTACATTTCATATAGGCAAGTGTAACCAAATCCACTGATTCGGGAAGACAGTTTGGTAACAGAGTGTTCTATTTAGTTGTCCAACAGTAAAACCTAAAGTGAAACTTTAAAAATAAAAGCATATTGGTGTGATTATTTTCCTTTTATTTTTCATTATGTTTTTATAGCACTTAGTTTCTCATTCTTGTTCTATTACATACGTCCAGTTTACAACCCAAACAACTTAAAGCAGTATGTGGCAGTTGAGTCTGAATCCAGAAGAGTCAGGAATAATGATGAAAGCATATGTTAAGCAGAGAAAATGTCATACTCTGTTGGATCCAGGTCACTTAAACCATTTTATTTGTGGGGAAGGAGAAGATTCTATCACTGTATTAACAATAATCTCTTGGATTTTAGGAACTTCACATGACTGGAGATTACGATGTGGTGCTGTGGACCTCTATTTCACACTTTTTGGCCTCAGCAGACCTTCTTGTTTACCATTACCAGAGCTTGGACTTGTTCTTAATCTGAAAGAAAAGAAGGCTGTACTTAATCCAACGATTATCCCTGAATCAGTTGGAAATAATCAGGAACCTGTGAACAGTACTAACAGTCACGGACAGTCAGTGGGATTTCAGAACACCGTAAGCACAACCCGTCTGCATACATCCCATTCAGCTGGCTCTGAGTCCTTGCGTTGGTGGCTGATTTAATTTTGTACTGTGTTCAAGCTTCTCATGCTTTACCTCAGCTACCTTGATACCTTGTTACTCCTTACAGCTTCCACTTGAAAATCTGGCATATGTCATAACTTTTTTGACCTTTTTTAACTGTTTTGCGCAACGCATGCAGGCTTTTTACTTCTTTTTTTCTAGTCTCGTCATTTCTGTTCTTTACGAAACTTTACTTTTTCTATATTGCTTACGAAACATAAAGTGATTCACAGAAATGTTTGATGCTGTGATGAAAACGGTTTTTATTAGACTAAGGATATTGCCTATAGGCAAGTTACACAATTCTCCAAGACAAAACCTTTTATCAGTACATTTATTACATCTTAAAATACACAGATACACCTCTTTTTACACAACTGTAAGAGATGTGGAAGTTGGAACTTTAACACATCTTCATTTAACACTTGAATCTGACTATTTAGTGCTCTGCTCTGAAGGATTTGTAACAACTTCGGAAAATCTCACACATTTAAGTTTGATATCTTTCTGGCTTCTGAGGATTCGCTCCTAACCCATAATCCATTGTGTATTTGGAAAATAGCTATTCAAATCATACTTTTCTTAAGAATAGCTGCCACTGCTGCAAGACTAAGTCTTCCTCTTGGACAAATTTAATTATAAGGGAAAATTCTCCAACAGACATGGACATAAGTCATTTTCTTAACAGTTTCAAAAACGTCATTTGATTTGAAACTGCTTAGGAGTAAATCCTGAAAGAGAATGTGAACGTGTAGTTAGCATGTTTAAAACTCTTTCCACCCTTTTGAATGGGATGGTTTACTGTTACTTTATCAGTCCCATAGTTGGTTTCTAAATCGATTTTATTCAGAATTACACCGAGAGTGCTAATTATCACAGTGCCTTGCAGGCTCTTTCCAGCAGGGGGAGAAAATGATGATGGAGTCAAGTATCATTAGAGCTATCCTACATATTTACGGCGCATGTAGTAAGTCCTAATTTGCTGCACACAAACCTCAGAATTAAATAGCAGGAGACATTTTGTTGGCAGTTTGTAGGCTGCAGTTCAGTGACTATCCAACTTTTTTCGCAACCAGATTATCTTAATCAAAAAATTTCCTCTTAACTCTTCTTTCTCCTATACTGTCCTTTCCCTTGGGCTACCACAGTTGTTACTGCATAGTGAGCTGGATCAGGGGAGGATCTCCTTGAAAAATACCTCTTTTTATTAACAGATACTTCCTGCTGGGTCAGTTTCCTGGTTCAGTTCATCATGTAGTGACATAAATGCTTGTGGCAGCCCAGGACAGAAGTGTGTGAGGAAGAGGCTGCTTCTTTTAGCAGCAGTACTGGCTTACACTGGTGTGAGAATACAGCATTGGTATAAGCCTCAATTCACATTTCATCCCTCCTATCTGCTCCTGTGCCTCATCTCCATTCTCCTACCCTGTACTTTAAGGTTACCATTTTCACTGTAACTCCCCCAAAATTCAAGGAACTAGTTTTCCTTGTAAAAAACAAACCAGTAACACAAAACAAAGGCTGCCTCTCACATCAGCCAAAGTTTATCCGAAGTTCCTCATAGCAACAGTCTGTTGGGTTAAATAGTAGGAATGAAGAAAGGGAAGCAGGTATTTGAGGGGGAAAAAACAATCAACAGGTGATAGAATACATCAAATTAACTAGGTTCTTAAAGCAGATGGAGAGCATAAACATGTTAAAATCAGTACTGATAGGCTTGTGACACTGAATTTGCTGAGGATGGTAAAAGTTGCCCACTTCATAAAATTGAATTTGAATTTTTCGGGGCAAGTTTGTGAAGGTAGCATGCTCTTTGTAGGGTAGAGGAAGAGCAGTTCAGTGGAGCAGCACATGCTCCTGAGAGTCTATGATATAGCTGTTATCTAGGTTTTAGTGGGATTTTCATTATGTTTGCTGTTGTGAGTGCTTTATATTTCCTTCTGTATTTTATGTATGGGACTTCTTGGAACACCTGTCTCCTGTTTTAATGACTATATATGTAACTTAGTAGACTCTTCTGCTATTTGTACATTCCTTTTAGCTTGTTTTTGTTGATAATATAAGCAGTAATTTACACAAGTCTTTTAACGCTTTTTAATATTATTGTAAAATCAAAAAACTACCCAAGTTCTAAATGCGCATTATGATTTGTATTCAACAAAGTGAGCACTACCTTTAAAGCTAACTAAAAGTAGATTTAGCTAAATCCCATGTGTAGATCAGAGGCTATCACAGTTTTTCAACTGAGATTTGGACTGAGGAGACTCTGCGAGGCACAGATTTATAGAAAGGCTATTCAGAGGCAGCAAATGTTGTTGCACACCAACAGTACCATGATTGTGAGAAGGGACAGAAAAGATGCCAATGCTAGATATGCAGTGGGAGCAGGGATAGAAGTAAAGAGAAACTATGTTTGTAGGAGAGGTTGGCACAAATCCATACAGGGTTTTAGAAAATACTTTTTTCCAGAACTACAGGGAAAACTTTGTTCAAATCACCCACTTCAGTCAGAAGTGTTTTCGGCTATCAGGTCTCTTTTAAGCTGAAACATGGCTCTTGCTATCTTCTAATTTTGGTCTTTTAATGCTGCTTCAGGAGGATGATCATCTTATTAAGGAAACAGCATCCAGCATTTCTGGTCATCAACAGGGGGTGAAGAGGAAGGCTGATATGCCACTCGGGTCTCCATTGGAGCCAGGGCAAATACTAGAGAAGAATGAAGACAGTAAAGTCAAACTCAAAATCAGAGTAAGAAATGGAAATTCAACTTGCTCAGTATGTAGGGTATTCAGAATAACTGCAGTGGCTTCTGCTGGCTTCCCCTAAAGCTGTGTTCCGACAAAAGACATGTTGTGTATATGTGTGCAGTAGTTGTTACGCTTACTTTGGCACAATCATTTCCCATCAGATTCTTTATTGGCTGGCAAGAACTGAAGGTGACAGTTCTTGTTCACACAGCTTCACAGTAAATTAGGAAGAAGAAAAGACACTGATCCTTTTTAATTGTATTGAATTTTTATTCCTTTGCAGTGGTAGATATCACTTCCTTTCCCTCTCACCCCCAGTTTATCTCAAAAACATAATATTTTAAGTTCTATTCAGTGATACTCTTATGAACTATTAGCATCTGCTTATCTTTTTTCCTGATACCTTAGTTCTCAAACTCCCAAGAAGAGGAGGAAATTGATATGGACACAGTTCATGACAGTCAAGCCTTTATTTACCATCATTTGAACATGTTGGAGAGACCATCCACGCCAGGTACGAATAAATTCATTGGCAAAATGGTAGTATGACTTTAACTACTTCAGTTGTGGGGTGTTTTTTGCTACTGCTTATTGCCACGCATGCAGTTCTGGTAAGTGTTAAATGTTAGCTGAATTCAAGGAGGTGTATAAAGGGTGCATAAGAACATTTCTTTAGCTTCCAGTATATTTATAAATTACTGTGTACATGTGTATCTTCATAAATTACTGTGTACCTATGTATTTTCATACATAAGGCAAGTATGTATCATGCTAATGAGAGTGAAAAGCTAAGGAATTAATAAAATAATGTAAAGCTGAAATAGGACCCTATAAGCAATTTGGTAAAACTTACTTAGCCATAGTTGCTGTTTAAAAGATAATAATTGTGAAGATTAACTTTAAAAAAAAAAATAGCGAGACAGTTTGGGTTAAAAAGAAATTGATCTTAATGATTTATAACTTAACATCTATGTTAAAAACATACAAGCCTCAAACATACTTAGAAAGGATTTTCAAAGTTGAAAAAAATGCATCTATGAGTAAAACTGTTTTGTTTCAAGCACTTCTTTTACTACTGCTCTTAGTATCTTTTTCAGAAAATATTTGTCAAAATTATTTCTCAAAGAAAGCATTTCTTAGAAACTTCAAGGCAGGCTGAACTTCACTGATGAGCTTCCATCCTTTTTGCTTATCTGTCATTAGCAAAGAAATTCAGTGGTTAGTCTCATTTTCTCAAAATACTTTAACCACATCTCTTGAGTTCCAGGAGGTGCCAGTGGAGCTAAGCTGAGGTAGCGTGAGGCTGTACCAGGCATTTTGAGAGATCATTGGCACAAAGCCAAAACAAGGTTTTATGGTTGCAGTACTGCAATGTGTAAAAGTTAAGTATTTGGCCATAGAAGCAGAATTCAGAGTAATTACCCTCCTGCTTGTTTTTCTGTTTTTACCCAGTGGTTGCCTAATGTAAAACAGACATAGACCTCAGCAGCAGGATCTGGAACGTTGGTTCCGCCTTGAATGCCCTAGGTCCCGAGCTACACTGACAGGCGACCTCGTCTGCTTTCCCTCTGACCTGGCAATTTACCGGCCCCGTTTCAGAGGAGGGCTGGTGGATGTTCCTGCGCTGAGTATCCTGCTGAGGCTGGTGCCTTGCTGCTGGCTGGGAGTGTGGAAGCTGTAGGCTCATACTCCCTTAGGGCCCAGGACTTACGTTTTTACTTCCTTGGCAGATGCTCCAGCCACTAAGGGTTTGGGGTTTTTTTATTTTAAAAGGTAACTGCTGTCATTGCTCAGCTAACAAATTAAGTTCATGTGGGGACATTAAACACAGGGGGGTCTAGGTTCTGGATTCCAGATGGCCTTTGGTTAATGACATGTGCCTGTATAGCCAGCTCCACCAGGATGGATTTGCTGTTAGATACGTAGAGTAGCAAAACTCACAGCTTTCTGCCTAAGTCGTAGGCATTTCAGCAGAGTAAAGGCAGGCTGCATATAGATTGCTCACGTGAATTTAGGAGCCTAATTCCACACAACCTTTTCTTTAAACCTCTCAGAGCTGCTTTGGATGTTGTCCTCAGTGTTACTGTCAACCATTGCATTTTCTGTTACGACAAAGAATGACGCATCCAGGGCATGCGAGTGCGAAGCTGATCCGCTGAGGATTCATATTTATAACACTTACATGATATTTTGCAACTTTTTTTTTTACTAGATTTGCACACTCTACGGAATATACAGTCATAAACAAAACTCTGCCAAATACTTCACAAATAGGACTTAGGGGACCCTCTGCACGCCAGCTCTGTGCTCCAGTACTGTTGCATATAAAGTTTGCACTAGAGTTCAGAAAGAGTAAAGTCTGATCAGGAGTGGGGTAGGGGCTAGTTGACTGCTGCTTTTGTAGACCTACAGCAGACAAAAGCTACTCGGAGTTTCACGTGTGTGCTGAATGACCTTCTCAACTCGGCCGTTTAGAAATTCATCACACTGGAATACATTTTCTTTGATAATAAATGAGACAAATGCTGGGTTTTGCCACAGGATTCATTTTAAATAATAAGCCTTTGAAAAGCATTATCTTGAAACATTTCAGATTAATTTGATTTTCTTTGGTTTGAGCAGTTAGAAACGGTTCCAGTTCAGATATTCTGTGCTTCTAACATTTCACCTGTTTCTTATTCATAGCATTTTTCTTAGAAGCAGGGATGTATGAATTTCAGACTGAGTAAATAAAGACAGTTCAGTCTTTAGGAAGTGGCATACTTCTGAGAAGAAATGCCAAACAGACGGGGAAAAATAAAAGCATACGTAGAGAAAATTGTTCACACATAAGAGCGTTCTGTTTTACAAAGGAATCACAGATATTTCCTGGGGGCCTTGGAGTTTTTGCAGCGATGACGGAGGTTGGGTGCGCTTCAGTGAGTGAGTGTTGTGAAACAGATTGACACCAAGTTCTGAAATGGCCTCAGTATCTTGTTAGTAAATCTGTAAGGTCTTGCATCTGCCTTGCTTCTGTGACTCGTACTTGGAAGGCAGCGAGCTCTTAGTCCATGCTCAGTTTTCCTCTCACAGCTGTGGGTTATGTCCCCACGTGTCACATGAAGTGTTAGGTCATCAACCAAACACAGCCTGCGAACAGCAGCTGCCAGGAAGTTCATGTTGGGTCTAAATCCTGCCCTATCTGTGGGTTTGTTTTTTGGGTTTGGGTTTTGGGTTTTTTTTTTTTTTTTACACTCCCCACGCCACCCCAGAATGATAATTCAGATTTGTTCAAGTTGATGTAACCCCCAAAAGCCGGGCAAATATTATTTTCCTTCAAAGGCTTGCTTTCTGTATGCTCCTGCTCGTGCTTGTGGAAGGTTAGGGTTGAGACACGCTGGAGGGGCAATAAAAGGAGTCTTGTACTACAGCTCTTGCAGGATTAGAGGTTTCAGTACTATAATTACAGCACCTTTCATAATTGTTCATATAGAAAATGCTTTAAATCCTACTAAATCATCCTGTCTACGATAATAGAACTGTGGGCTCTGGTAGGGGTTCTGAGCATTTTTCAAGAAGATATGGTAACTAACAAAACCCCAGTTGTGAACTGTCTGAAGAATGCTGCTATGTTGATTATTCATCTGCCCTAAGGACTAGAAACATGGTAGCCTCCTTTGAGCCTCTAAAGCTGTGCAAGGTCACGTGTCTAACGCAGAACAGATTTTTATTTGCTACTACATGACCAAGAACAGTAGTAATGCTCCCTACTCTTATCTTAAGATAGAAGTGTTTCAAGATCAGATTTTGTTTAAGTAGTAGATTTAAACTCTTTTCAGACTGTAAGGTGACTTGTCATGTGTTGTTAACTTCAGTGAAATCAGATTAAGATACACTTCTTTATTTACTTTAATGTTTCACTCATCTGAAAGTACAATACTTCAAAATTAACCTTGGAAAAGTTCTGCTGGATATGTCAGTGGTTTTTGGTTGGCCTGTTCATTTCTGCTTCCAAAATAAATGCCTTGGCGGTAGCCTGCGTAGTCTACCAATGAAGTTACACGTAGTTATGGCTTAACAGGTCATCACTGATAAACATTTAATTAGAACTTTCCCGGCTGTTTTGGGTAGTGTCATGGTTGATACAAAACTGTATCCAATTCTCTTATCTTTATTTCTACAAAAGAAAAAACCATAAATACAGCCATGTTCTATTTGTGCACTAGCAGTCCTTTTTCTCATCACATTGAGCAGCAGTGAGCTTTAAGGGCATATCTTGAGCGTTCGAACTCGGATCAGAAGAACCCATTGGCCATTCTGTTAATCCATTTGCTGGTTTCCAGGATAACCCGATTTCCACTCCTAACCTCGTAGGTCACTCTGTTTACCTTGTAGATGGACATGAAACTGGAAAGGTCTGGCCCACACTCAGAGGTGTTGATTGGATCATGGTCTTGTTTATCACAGTTACTGTCTGCAGTTTCAGGAAATAATGGTTTAGCTGGATTTAACTGTTTCTGGAACAATTTAAAACTGGATACAGCACATACTGCAGTAAAGTGTAAGGGAAAACTGCTGTAGTCATGTTTAAACGGCGCATTTACCACACTAGATTTGAGCCTGTGGAGGCCAAAAAGTGCAAAGTAGTGGCTCCCTGTTAAAGAGGATTAACGAAACGTCAGCATCCTTCTTGGATGTGAGGACACCACTGACAGTGATGGATTTTTGCTTTGCTTTATAAGGAGGGAAAAGCTGTTAAAACTGTTTTGTTACACTACCTTTAATAACATATTGTATCTGTTCAATAGTATCCCTTACACATATGTTGACTTTATTACCTAAAATATAACTGCTTCCAAACTGGTAACTCACGGGCTTCGAGGTTGAAATAGCATGTGATTAATTGTACATTTCCTAAGGAAGGGTGTTTTCAGGTGCCTTATCCCAAAGTGCATGAAAGCAGCTTTAATACAAACGTAAGCCTTGCAGATAAAGTGACAACATAAATGAGAACCGCATCGGTGTGAGGCTGCAGTGTGTCAACAATTTGATTTAATGATAGCAACATCATATGGTAGGTCTGACTCTCTCTGGGAATACAACTAGTCACTCTCAAACCTAGAAGATGGATAAGGTTAGAAATGAAATTTTCAAGTGAACTACTTGAAACTGTGAGAGGCACAAAGTACTCTGAGCTGACATAGTGATTTAAATGTTCCTTTTCTCTAGAGTAGGGAATATTCTAAAATTTTCTAGAGTATTAAAGTAAATTTAGTAAACCTAACACCACAGTTAAGCTATGATTTTAGTGTAAGGACAAAGCATTGTGTTTGGTAATTGAAAATCAAACGAGGAAATTATTGAAATGATTACTACTTAAAATATATTTTAGTTGAATCAACTCTTTACGGTACTTTAGCAGAGTCTGTCCTGTGGTATTGATAGAAGGAATTACCCATCTGGATGTAAATCCCACTAGAAAGTATGAAATCAAATGAATCTGTAAATTGGAACTACTTAAAATTTTTATGTTGGAGCCAAATGAACTGACTTGTTTAGCACATCCTCAGAAAAAATGTGGGTGTTTTTGTTTAGGTTTGTTATTTTTTTAACTAGACCTTTATTTTCTCACTCTTAGAGTTTAAATTTTGTCATGTGGTCTTTAAAAGAACACTCTACTAGACAGAAAATTGATAAATTTTTTAAAGAGATATATAATTTGAAAATTCTGCTTCCTGAGGCAAATGACAAGACATTCATGCATTCTGGAAAATTGGGGTTATTTATGCTTGGTGACTTTCTGTGTGGGCTTTGTTAATGGTTCAGCACATACATAAACACAGCATTGAATTAAAAAATAGCGTGTCTTGGATGTTTCCAGGGTAATACTAAAAAAGGAAAGTAGAAATAAGGAAAAACAGAGTAATTGTCTAAACAGTTTTTAAGATCTTTTCAGCTTTTTTCGTGTTCTCTTTTTTAGAGAAAATGCTAGCCAGCACTGCAGTTCAACTGCTAGGCAGAGCGAGTGCAGCATTTTGTTTGTTAGCCAGCTTTCTTTGAGTTGTGGGAGAGACAGATGAAGTGCTCACATGTCCGTGTTGATGTCCCCTTCTTCCCAGCGGTGGTTGGTGTCGGGTTCTGGAGCAGCAGCCTGTCCTTGGCTGAAACACTGGACCCATGGGCCTTACCCTTTGCTGTGATTTGCGAAGGTGGTTTCTCCCTCTCTGACATTTGAATAAATCATGGTGCAAACGGGGTCATTTTTAACAAGTGTCAATTGGGTAAAAAGTCCCTGGTAAGCAAGCTGTTTTAAATAGGTTGTACATGCAAAGAAACGGAGACTGTCTCAAGTTAGGTGTTCCCAAATTGTAAAGATTCAATGCTAAATAAGAGTAAAATAGGTAAAAACCCAACAACGTTGTTCAGTGTTTATGCAGCAATGATGCTTGAAAAGAAAAAAAAGTTACCCTAGATAATTGATGAACAGGATTTTATAATTATCTAACAGTGATTTTCATTATGACAGTAAATGTCACTTTAAAGCTTACCAACATCCAAACCTCTTTTATTCTAAAACTAAATGACGAGATCTGTGTTCTCACCTTTTATTCTCTCTCACAATATCTACAGCATTTGTATTGGTCCCTGTGACAAGGTGTGCACAGAGTTTCCAGTCTTTCTCCCATGGGATAGTAATCCTGTCTAATTTTAAACACCTACCCAGCTAGCTGGAACACCGCAAAACCTGTAATTACATTGGACTCCCTACATCCCAAATGGAGATCCATGTGGATAGACACATGTAGGTGTGTTTTATTCCAAGGAATGCTACTAAGCACTTCAGAAGTGAGCTCCTGGAGTCACCCTTCCCTTATTTGTGTGTTCGTGTGATTTGGGAAACCTGGGTTCCAGTCCTACTCCCTCTGACAGGAGCAAGTGGGTTATCTGAAGGAAGAGAGAGTGTTCCGTGCAGCAGTCCCACTACCCCCCTGTTGACATAAGGATATTATTGCCCTGTAAAGCAATTCTTATTTAGCTTTGCTTTCCTAGTTTGGCAGGTTCCTGGCATGGGCTTTAAGTAGGCATTTGTTAAAAAGCAATGAACAAAGAAAATGTCTTTTTCAGGTTTAATGGTGAATTTTGTAGGTACAAATCTGTAAAATGTTTTATAGAGCTTTTACAGGTCTGTCCATTTTACAGACAGCTGAGTTCAGTGCTCTGCGTGCATCTTTTCTGAGCCGTCGGCCAAGATCAGTACATTTGGTTCCTGATTTCAAAGCACTCTTACAGTAGGAGGAAATATTCTGGATAGTTGTTATTTTTGCATTTGAAAAACCCAACAGATTACAGCCATCACTGACCTCTGAGGAAAGGCTGTGTGTGCTCTTGTCCTGGCGCAGGAAAAGCAGATTCTTGTGATGGCATTGTTTCATTGACACCAGTGCCGTGTTGCCAGTGTTGACTGTCCTTAAGTGTCAGTAGCCCTTCAGTGGCAGCTGGATTCGATTTCTCCCCTTCTGGAAGATCTTCCTGCCTTTTTCCGTTTCTAGGTGCTCATCGCCACCCCTTCAGTCTTGTCGGCTTAAGCTTCTGTTGTATTTGCTCCCTAACTTGCTCCAGTCAGCGGTGTTTAACTGCTTTAAAGAACAGATTTCACTTTTTTACTAACCTCCCTGAAATAATTGAAGAAGTGATCATGCAAAGTGTTGCCTTCCCAGAGCCAGTAGTTCAGTAAACAGCAGGGAACTTGCGTAAGTGGCAGGTAATACAACAGACGCAGGATCTATTGGATCGCATCCTTGGTCTTCGCTTGGCACGACTGCTACATCGTCCCTGCAGACCTCAGCCTGTGCCCTTATACCACTTTTACTGGGTTGCAGTTTTAAAGCTCAGAGGCTTAGCTTTGGTTTGAGGTGGCTACGACTGTGGCGTCTAGGCTAACGGGTTCGGTGTCCATATAAAAATAACTTCACAATTTGGAACTAATGGAGCTGGGAAGGTTTAAGGGTGTGTTTCATGTGTGTGGGCTTTTATTTTCTTTTAAATTTATTTTAGTTTGCCTTGTATATTTTAATGCATCATGTGCTCGTAGCTTGAGAGTGTGTTCTGTACCTTAGATAATCATAGAATTGTGGAACGGTTTGGGTTGGAAGGGACCTTAAAGACCATCTAGTTCCAACCCCCCTGCCATGGGCAGGGACACCTTCCACTAGACCAGGTTGCTCAAAGCCACATCCAGCCTGGCCTTGAACACTTCCAGGGATGGGGCATCCACAACATCTCTGGGCAACCTGTTCCAGTGCCTCACCACCCTCTCCGTGAAGAACTTCTTCCTGATATCCAATCTAAATCTCCCACTTTTGTACATCTTTTATGGATGAGCGCTGATCAGTCTTCAGTCATTTTGCCACGACCTTTATTTCTGTGCTGCTAGAGGCTGTGTTTGTCACTGCCACAGTTCACCTTTAGTTACTGTGGCTGAATTTAATGGTGCCAATTACTGTGTGCTTTCGTTCTCTGAGGTACAGCCTCCAACCATTCCTTTCCTGATGGCCGGAGTCAGGTGTTTCTCCACCGTTCTGTCTTCTCTTTAATGGCTGGATTTGCATCCTTGCAGCTGCTAAGGAAGGGGTTTTTTATATGTCTAAAAGCTGTATGCTTTAGGGGGATGAGCAGGGAAAAGTTGCAGGGAAAGGTTTAGGTACAGGTAGGAGTTCCTTTAGAGAAATATAATTAGAGTTGCATTATGAGGCAGTTTCGTACCATTTTGCACCAGATACAGTCTACTCGCAGCAGTCCTCCGCAAGGCAGACAGCATGCAATGGAAGAGTTGTAGTAACTGTGCGCTGAGGTCAGCAAGTGGAAGTTTGAATTTCTGTGCGTATCTTCGGATATAATGCACATAAAATGGTAAAGTGATTGTGAGTACGACCAACATCAGCAGACTTTTATATGGCATCATATCCACATCTTGCAGTTGAGCCCAAACGTATTTCTAGAAAGACGTAACTTTTGCTGTTTAAGACTTGAAGCAGTTGAGACTGCACCATGTGCCATAGCAAGTCACTGATTATCCTGACTGTCAAAATGTTTTGTGTCTCTGTTCTGACCGCTGAACACTGCTGACAGATGGATGCTTTTTTCCAGCCATAGTTACAAACAAAAGGAGGTACTGGAAGAAAAATCCATTCTCAAATATACAGAAAAAGATAATTACAAAGTACATTATAACCATAATTCCGTGATATTTTAATGGGATATTTTCACCAGAAAACTGGAGGGGAGGGGACATTTAAACATTTAAAGCACCTGTAAGAAAATCCATTTTAAGTAAAACTTAAAGGAGTAGTTGCCTTCAGAAATCTGATGGTGCTTTTTTACGTTTGTTTAGTAGCTAAAGCACGTTTTTGCAATGCGAGTGATTTGATTCCATTTCTGCCTGCAGGAATTCAAGCCTTCCGACCTTCCAAGTGTTCCCCCTCATTAACAATATTATACTTAGGTTATTGCCCTTTAATCCCTACTATTAAAGCTATTGCAGTTTGTGTGAAATAATGAAATGTTAAATGAGCCAAAGAGTATGAGAAAGTCGTTCAGGAATTGAGAGGTCATGGATCAGATTTTCCTCCCGCAGCTTCAGATACCCAGCTTACTCAAGTGTGTTTGAAATCGATACTAATAAAGATGGTGTCATTTGCTTTTTCTTTAAGAACAAAACTTTGTATAATCTTTCAGATAGGCAAAATTGGTTGTAAGATGCAAGTTTTGGAAAAAGCGATTTGATTCTTCTGTTGGGTATCAAAAGGTTTGTATGTTCTTGCAGGGAGCTTTAGCTCCTGACTAAGAGGTGTTCACATCCCCAAAGGGCACCTTAATGTACGGCAGCCCTGTGCTTTGTAGCGTGACTTTCATAAGCAGTTGTACGCTCGCTGTTCATGGTACAGTGCCTTTCCTGCTGCCTTTAAAAATGGATTTCTGGAAGCTATTATGACTTGCAGTTTCTTAGCTCTTTGCCATTCCTAATTGTCTGGGAGACATTTATACTTCTGAGGGAGGACGGAATACCTCTGTACAAACTGTCAGTAGCACGGGAACGTTAATGGCACGTTCAGAGCCTTTTCTGAACCAAAACCAAACCAAAAGCTAAGGGTGCAAGTGTAGTAACAGATTCTGTGTTTGCGTGTTTAAATGGTAATGTGGGTTTTATGGGGTAGTTCAGGATTTCTTATGTTTGAAGACAATGCAAGGTAAAACATTCATTGATCCCACTATATCCATTTTTTCAGGGAAAGAACAGTCTTCAGGAGAGATGAACATGCACCCTGTCTCAGCAGCTCCACTCTCTGTCTTTAGTAAAGAATCAAACTCCTCAAAACATAGTGATCACCATCACCACCACCACCACGAGCACAAGAAAAAGAAGAAGAAACACAAGCATAAGCATAAACATAAACATAAACATGACAGTAAAGAAAAGGAAAAGGATCCCTTCACGTTCTCTAACAGCCCAGCCAGTGCACGATCAATCCGTTCCCCATCACTTTCAGACTGATATCGATGGCTTCTCTGGAGTTCAGCTCGCAGTGTTCTCTGAATACTTGGAAGGATGTACATAACGACAGCTTCTGTCTTGTTTTATGAAAAGAACACGTGGACTGCCTTGGCAGTTCAGCGGCTCTGCCACTGTCCTCGCCTGAAGCTTCTGTTTGCGTACGCGGTTGTTGAAACAAGCCGATTGAAAAAATACGGTTTATGATTCTGAGTCATTTTGCGTTTCACTGTTCTCCACACCTCCCACTCTTTTTTCCATTTTAAACAAAGAAAACAGCCCTTTCTGTAAGGGCCCTGTGTCCACTGGCAACCCCCTGCACATCATGCTGACCGTGTGTACTGCCAGAATCAATTATGTTTTAAACCTTTGAAGAATGTTACGAGGCAGAGGATGTTTTCAGCAGAAGCCAATTGCCAGACCTTTGGTGAAGTGCTGTTTCCAGAGCAGTATTGTATAACCGAGTGTAGACCTCCTGAGAAGGCAGGGATTTTCTGTAGCCTTCGGCTGAGCTCTTTCTTGCTTTAACCATTGCGATGTAACGTCAGAATTTTAAGAAAAGTATATAGCACATTTGCCTTTTTCGGAAACTAAAACTCTTAAATTCCAAGCTGCTTTTAAGCTGCAGGTATTTATTACAGACACGACCCTTTAGATAGAAGGACATTCTGCAATTATGTTTTTGGAATTTTAGGAAGATGTTGGATGCATGTTTTGTCCTGCAATCAGGCTTTTAAAACTCCAATAAAGTTTGGAAATTATTTTGACAGGCAGAATTTTTTTCTTCGAACGTGATGCTGGAATATGCTTTTGAAAGATGGCTTTGCTAAAATGATAAAATAACTCAAAAAGCTTAAAAAGATCGAAATGTGTGTATTTCCTCCTGCTTGAGGGGTGGGTTTTTGGAAGTGTTCTCTACGATCAGCTAATGAATCCGCGGGAGAAATACATTAATAGGTTAAGCTGGGTCTGGGACTTTAAATGAGAGATACGTTACATTTCTTTAGCTGTGTTTTAGGCAGTGTACTATTTACAGCCAGCAAATGTTTTATGTAAAAACTTACGGTTTTAGAAGCTTTGAGAATAGAGATAATGCCTGCCACTTCTTACGCGTTTTCTTTATTTGTATGTAGAGGCCAGGGGTTTATTTCCATGCACTGGTTGACTTCTGCTGCCCAGAGTTCACATCACATTTAGCTTTCTTACGATGGTTATATTCGGGTTCATTTTTTAATTTTTTTTAAACTTTTCCCAAAGTTTAAAAAGTTTCTCTTCCTAGGGCAGAGAGAAAAAATTCAACAGGGACGCAAGAAGAATTTTTTAAGCCATATTCTGTTTCATGAGAGTTAATAAATGCTTTTGTATTATATACCTGCTGTTGAATCCTGTAGTTCTTGTAATAACAAATTATCTGTGGAACGGAAACATGATAGACTCGAGTATTTTGTAGTACTCACATACTGTTTTCTTACTCAGACACCATACCCCTTTAATACTGCGTGGATAGCTGTGCTGGTCGTTGTGCTTGGATCCCCTGTGAAGGCACGTTTGGGCTGGATTTGGATGTGATGGACCCGGGCGGCACCGCAGCCTCTCTCCTTGCGGGACGCGGTGCCGTCTGCTCCCAGCCAGCGGCTCTTTGCGCTCAGTGAAGCCCACCTTGTTTCCTCGAGCAACGACTGCAAGCTCCTACCGCCCAGACGAGCTAAAGGGGCAGGAGGGCCGGGAGAACACCTACGGGTGAGTGGAACGAGGTACTGAGCATCTCGGGGTAGGCTGAGCGTGCATGCGGCTCGGCTGACCGCCTCTTCAGCCTGCGAGGTGGGCGTCACGGACGGTGAATCGCGGGGAGAGGTTGGGAGGCTGTAGGGCTGTAGTAACAGCTCAATGGAAATATTTTTAGGTGTTTTTCCCTTGGCTAAGGGGTGAGGTAACAGTGCCAAAGGTGTTTGTGGGAGACCTGGGCTAATAAGCAGTGAAAGCTGGCATTGTTTGGGAGAGCGAAGGCAGATGCACTTATGTTTTAAAAATGAGGTCATGGATAATTTAGGCTGATGCAGTTTCTACCTTGGGAGACGTGGATTTGCACTCTTAGGCTGCGGGGGAGCGTATTGTTTAGTGACGGGGCACAGAACTGAGGCAGGGCTGTAACAGGGAAATTCTACCATCATGTACTTGGCTGTATGACTGTAAGTGAACTACTGAATATACGCTAAGGAAATACGGGGAAGACACTGTTAATAGAAGATCGGAGGGGAAAACAAAAACCTAAGACTGCCCCAGTGCAGTTTCTGAGGTTAATGTCGTGGTCCTGGTTCAGAGCGTCCATTCATGTGTTTGATGGAATGCAAAGTACATGTGAGGTCTGGGGGGGTACTGCACGGACCGGCAGTGCTCCAAGACTGGTACATGCGCTCAGAAGTCAGAAGAATTAGGCAGATTGCACGAGTGATCCAAAAGCAGCAAGCTGAAATCTAGAAGGAATCAGTGTGACACACCGAACTTGAGGGAAAATTAAGTGCGTGGAAGCAAAGCCGTTCCCCCTGTGCTGCTTTAGGCTGGGGTTAAACCATCACAGCCCCATCTTGCAAGATGCAGCGAGGAAAAAAAGCTTCTGGTTGCACAGGGGTGAGGAACTTTTAACTGTTGCAAAAAAGCAAAACTCACCTAAGGGTTAGCAG